TCAAGACACCACCAAAGCTTTCGCTCCGTTCCGCCGGACGTCTCTGAAACCTCTCTCAAAACGCTTCCTCAAACCTACGCGCTTCCTCGCAACCCAAAAACGGCCTCCAGACGTGCTGGAGCCTGACAAATGCGCCGATCTCGGAAACAAGGCAATCGCCTGGCACCATTCTGGACCATCGCCTTGGTTGCCCTCGTCCTGGGTGCCCACCATGGCGCTTCAACAGAGACCGTCCTCCTGTGGGACAGCCGCGACGACAGTGTGGGTGGTGGCGCCAGCTTTTTTCTGTCGAACGCCAAGGACGACCCCATCGGCTGCCAGCCTCAGCTTGACACCTTCACCTCTTACAACGACTCCCCCGCTTTGCCCCCGACCGAACCTTGCGGTATGCTGGCCCCCGCCCTTCTTGACCCCGTCCCCTACTTTGACGATCCAGCAAACTTTCTCTTCTTTGCTGGCCGCTCTCGTGAAAGCAACAAGCGCTCGGTGACCCTCCCTCCCGATCTTGCCGCCGGCGTCGTATCCCTCGACATCATCCTGCGCATGGATAGCACCAACTGGATGAGCCTCGGTGGTTCGTGTGATCAAAACATTCGAGCCCTCCTCACCGTTGGTCGTGATTCCCTCCGCGACAAACAAGCCGGCCTCGTGGTGTCGGGTGATGGCGCCTGCTGGGACAAAATCGCAAGCTCCGGTTTTGGCTCCGACGTGGCCCTCGCCGTTAGCACCCGCCCCCTCGCCGCCCCCAACACCACGGAAATGGCTTTGACCCTGCACTGGGCCCTCGATCTAACCGACCTCTCAACCCTCGACTTTCGCATCGGCGGCTCCGTCACACTTGCGGAAAACAGCTCCATCGCCATGGGCAACCTTCGCTTGTACGGCTGCTTCAACGCCGACAAAGGTCCGCCCCTTTCCCCTCTCATGAGCTTTCTACGCTCAACAAATAGTGTGTGTGTGTGTGTGTGTGTGTGTGTGTGTGTGTGTGTGCAACTATGAAGCCATGCCCTGCGACGGTCCTGCCTTTGCAACCCACGACACGATCGGCCCCGGTTCCGCCGCGAGCCCCCACGTTGTGGTGCACGGCGACATGGGTCGGCAGGAAGCCGAGTCTTTGCTGGTGCAAGAGGTACGCCCGGATGGACATGCCTTCTTGCTACGACGGCGGCCGGACGGCTCCCTTGCCATGACCGTGGCACATGCCGGGCGCCCTCGCCACCATCTGCTTCGGTGGAGCCCGGACGATCAAGGCTGGTTCGTGAACGACACTCTAGTCGCGCCCTGCGCCAGACTCGACCAACTCATAGCTCGCCTTCAGCAAGCCGGCGCCACGGGCGGCTTGGCGTACAATCTCGGTCCCATGCTGGAGCGAGATACAACCGTCTAGCGTGGTTTTTGTTTTCTCTTTGTGCGTTTGTTTGGGAAGCGTTGTGCGCTTGTGATCGAATTTATCAGGAGTATCTCTCGGTGCTTCGGGGTCTGATAGGTAAGGGCTGCCAGTCCCATATCAAAAACACACAAAGCTGGCTCCTGGATGAGCAGCTGGATGTCCACACCCCCTTTTTTTCCAGCTTCCCCTGTGGCAGAGAAACTCGGGGCTTGATCGCTGCGTGCCGAGCTGCGGGTCGCCGCGAAAAAAAAAGGCGGGTTGTGGTGTGAGTTTGTTCTTTACTACACTGTAAGTTTTTTTTTTTTTTTCCAGTCGGCTTTGCTTTGCACAAAGTGTGGTCGCGTAAGGTCTTGTGACATTGACGGCAATGAGCTGATTGTGACCTACACAGCGAGCCTTTGAGACAATGCTCGCAAAGAAATCGCCATCCGAACAAGCTTAACGGGCGCTTTGGAATTTAACTTTTCTCGAAAGTAAAAAATTAAAAAAGAAGAATAAGAGTAAACGTGTGTGTGTGTGTTGGCATTTTTCTTGTTCCCTCTTTGCCTTTTTGCCCTTTGCCTTTGACTTCTTCTTCTTTTGCTCTCTTTTGGCAGCGGTCTCGGTCTCGATATCGGCATCGGCGGGCTGCTTGACGTGTCTTGCTTTGTGTGTGCGTGGTGACTGATCGTTTGTGCTTGGTTTGGGACTTACCTGATCGGGGTCTTGCGGCGACGCCGGAACGTTTTGATTGAAAGCACTGCTGCCTGTGAGGCCACTGATCTCGCCTCGCAGTCGACAACGTGCGCTTGGGCAATCAAGTCCACCCGTCCTCGCAACTGTCATCGAGAACTACTGGCCAAAGGTGAGTCGTTTGGTGCATCAGACAGAGAAGAGCAAAGAGCCCGGTGACCGGCTGCCGTTTTGGAAACGGCGCGCGCCTGTCGAATTCTAGGTTGTCAGACGAGTTGTACTTGGAGGGGGCTCATGAAATTGGTGGTGGCTAGAGAAGCAAGCAAAGCGGTTTGAAGCGGATGGTGAATAGAGAGAGAGATACCGTTATTATGAGTGATGATGGAGAGCAGTTGTACAGTGCGTGTGATTCATCAGATCCACAAGAGGCGCTGCAGCTGTTGACCAGTTGGGACCAACAACGCATTCGAGATGCTGCCCAATACAAAGATAAGGTACGTATGCAGTTTGATATGATGTTGTGTGATATGGGTAACACTTTGAATATGTCACCAAATGGGGG